TTATTAGCTCAGTGAAAGGGAACCCAAGAATTACTTAGGTTTCCTTTGTACGTTGCCCTTGGCTATACTGTGTTTCAGCTGAATTGATGGGAACTGCGGTTAGAACCACAGCAGTCAGGGCCATGGAATTCTTCACCCAAGACCACAAGTGGCAGCAGAGTCACTCCACAGCCTAGGGCTGCCACCACAACCCCAAATGTTCTCTTGTTGAGGTGAGGAAAGAACTTCTCGAAATCACAGCTTTCGGGTGTGCAGAGGGTGCGGAGCCCCTGCAAAGATTCCCTATGTAGTAGCCTCTCCCCACACGTGCTGTAGGTAGAGTAAGATGACACTTGTTCTGCTGCTTCTGATCCTTTCCTTGTTTGCAGAGGAATGAGAGGAGATGGATTTGACCCCACAGTTATTAGAGATTGGACAGAGCTATCCAGTCCATCCCTGGACCAGCGCAGGGTTGTTACCTATAGTGTGATCTCCAGTCATGTGTCAGTTTGTCTGTAAATGATTCATGGGCGGAGCAACCCCCACTTCCCTTAAGAAACTACTCCATAGTCTAACTCAATGGTGCCCAGACTTTTCCTGTTGCGTTCTCCCCTCTCCCTCCCCCCCATCTCCATTACTGCACAGTTGGTTCAGCAGAGTAGCTTGGGCAGAAGGTAGATCTGGAGGCTGAACTGGGGATGGAGGAGGAGCTGGGGTTAGAGGTGGAGCTGACTTGTGAGTGGAGAGGGAATGAGGGCAGAGCTGGGCTTGGGGTGAAGGAGGGGCTGGATGGGAGCTGTAGCTGGGGCCAGAGCTGGGCTGGGTTGGGCTCCCTCTCCACTCCTCCCCACTCCCTGCCCCCCATGGGGGCTGACCTGGGCCCTGCCATATGCTCTCCCAAACATTCCTCTGCAACCCCCACCCACCACTGGGGGGCATGCTCCACAGTTTAGGGACCACTGATCTAACTGGTCACACTGTTAGGCAGTTTTCTTATTCAGACTACATTTTTCTATTTCTTGATTCCATGTGATTATTCCCAGTTCGGCACTTCCAAATTGCACACAAGTGCTGTCTCTTTTGTCAACCTGATTTGGCATGGTCTAAAATCCAGTAACCCAGCTTCTGGTACATCAGTGGCATTGCAAACAGTCTAGATTCAGCATGGAAATAAACATGTGTTGTTCCCTTCCTACCTGTGAAGGGGAATCCTAAGGAGAAAGGGATGTGAGGAATGTAGTCAGTCACTGCAGGAGCCTTTCACATTATGAAGCTTTGCCCAGAAATGAAGTCATTTTGGTGGTCTGCATTCAGTAATGGGTTCATGTAGATTCTAAGCGGCTTGTACAGTTTGTAAAGAGATTTGGGGTTGTTTGCATGAAACGCTCTATAGAAAAGTAAGATGACATTATAGACTATCTTCTGTTTGCAACATGAACCCATTTGAAGTCACACACTTCGAAGTCTCCGATCAGGAAACACCCATGACTGCAATCGCAGGAAGCTGCATGTCATCAATGAGGTATGCTTCTGAGTTGTATGTGGATAGCCTAGTTCTGGAGTAGAAGGGTAGGCTGCTGGTCAGGAGTGAGGTATGCTGGCAGAGCAGTGTAGACCAGGACTGGAACAGAAACTACAGGCAAGATGGAAGCTGCTTTGGCACAGCAGTGTAGAGAGCTGAGACTCCAGTTGCAGATTTGAGGTGCAGTAGGAGAGCCATGTGGGAAGGTGTTGTGCACTGCCTTCCAGCATTATGTCGGGCTCTGCCTTAGTGCTAGCATTCTGTCACTTACTTTAAAAGGCAGAAGTCGCATTTCCAAGGAATGAAAACGTTGCTGATCTGCCTGAGCTGGGAGAGGAGTTGTGTCTCATTCAAATCAAACAGAGCCTTGTTTTCAGTGTTACATTTGCCTCACTGCTCACCGTTGAGTTTGCTGATTAAATATCAATATTTAGCCATGAAATAATCCTATTCATTCATCAATCTCAAACATTTTAAAAGGTGTGGATATCATAACTCCCATTTTACAGATGACAAAATTGAGGTCTAGAGAGAAGTGACTTGCTCAGGGTCCCACAATAAGTCTGTGGCAGAACTGTGAGTAGAAACTGGGCCCTCTGGTTCTCAGTTTGGTGCCCTATATGCATTCCTAACCCACTCCCACAGTTCAAGGTTTTTAGTGTAGACAGCAGAAAAGGGTTTAAACCTAAACCAACTGACAATAGGTAGGCAGATGTCGAGCCATATCTACTGATGCTATTATATTTACTTAACATTAAAATAATGCTACCTATAAATTGTGCCCACAGCTCACCTGTGCAGAAACATATATGCATTACTATTACCCTGTACTCCCTCTCTGTCTTCAGTTTGTTGGGCAGGGATTGGTTCTTCTGTATGTTTGTACAGTGCTTTGTACAGTGTGACCTTTATCCTTTAGGTCCTTTGGGTCCTACAGTAATACCAAAAATAATCCCCTTTCCCCACCCCACCCCAGAAAGCCCACACCTCTGGGAAACCTCAGATTCTGATCTGGATCAAAACTTTTGTTTGTAGGGCTTCTCTTTCTAATTTGCCTAAACTGCAACCCTGAATCTGAAACAGGCCCTCCCTCTTGAATGCTGCTTACTCCCTACCAAAACTGTGGTGAATCTTGGATTCAACTCTGAATCAGGTTCCAGGCTTCACAAGTTGAGTTCCTCTGTAGTTTGTGTGCCCCCCATGGAAGTCTTCTGTGCAGACTCTAATGAGCAGAATCTGACTTGTAAAGCTCCATCACTTATGTTTTATTGAAAATATTGCTGGAGTTTCATTTGCCTTAAGTATTTGATTTCTTTTTTGTTTTCTTTGTTTGTTAATTGTAAAAAATGAAGATCGATGGATTATTGATGAGTAGCCACTTCTATTTATCCACAGATGAAGGACAGGTGTAGTGCAAGATTCCTCCACTTCTCCTCTGTGGTCTCCCTGCTAATGTTATCAAAAGTCAATACCATCTGATGGAAATGTGATGGTCTGTGTGAATTGAATTGTTGCACTCAGGCAGTCTGCTAAGACCTGTACTGAGCCCACTAACTGAATTCACAGAGGATACTGGCTGGCCATCATATGGGCTTGATTTTCAGTGACCTACAGCTGGAAATTTCCTTATCCTATTCCCAATTTCCTGATCCCCGAACTCCTACTCAGCCCTTGAAGACCATTCTAAAAATGCTGTTTCTACATTTTATTAGTGTAAACACAGCATGCAGGTTCCAAGAGGTTAACAGTCTCTCCTGCTTGTGACTCAAAACTAAACACTGAATTAATACATTTTATTTTTTAAATTTGCCACTTCTGTAGCAGAGCCAGGGCTATGATCTTTTCCTCAGAACCTAACAGTGTTTTACTTAACGAACGTTCTCTTCCTCTCCCTCTTTGAAAATGTTTTGTTAAGGCAGCTGCAATTGTTCCCTCTGCACCACCCCCAAAGGTGAATAAAGTGTTCTGCTTCCAGTGTTTGTTTTCTTTTAAATGACCTTTGTCCTGAGACCTGACTCTGTATAGCCAACTGCTGGTAAGTAGCCAGAAATTAAATGGCAATGTATAGCTCCTTGGGAAAATAGTGAATTTAAATTGAAAATACTGACAAGCTGATTTAATAGAGCTGCTTTTGTGGGTGCCACTCTCCTCAGTTCTTGCTGCTCTGTACCATTATGGACCCTGGTGGAATTCACTCTTCTTCCCTGTAATCCAACCTAGTCTTTGGGTGTCAGCTCTCCCTTTTGTGATCTGCCTCTGTCTAAATAACAGTGTTATTTGCTGCTTCTGCGTGGTGCTGATAAGAATCAGCCTGTCTGCTTTCCAGCCCGTTATGAGATACTCCTTTTTTTAACATTATATATTTGTTTTTTCTTCAGAATACAACATTTTCCTCCTGTCATAGTACAAGGGACTTAGAATTTTCAAAGCCTAATTTCTAATTCTGGCAAAGACAGGAATTAGATTCTCATGAAGGCCTTTATAAAAAATTGAAGACTTGCTATATTAACATACATTGATTTATTCATAGTGTTTCATTACAAATAAGCGAGGATCTTGTAATATCAGGAAAGGTTAGGGGAGCAGTAGAGTACAGTATATTATATTGACAGCTCAGTTGAAACTGAGCCACTGTTGGATTGAATTTGAAACATAAGGAAGGAATCGGCTGGTAAATAAGTCATGAGTTTTACCTCCAATGTCTGTATATCCACAGAGTTGCCACTGGTAGGCATAATGGAACTCAGACAGAATTTCAAAGGTGTGCTTTGGGCTTGTATTTCTCTAAAGATGCGTTATCACTAGCAATATATGTATCCATGAATATCTGTCTGGATCCATACCTTGCTGCCAACACTCTGAAGTGGAAATCAGGGACAGCACTCATACACAAACCATGAAAACCAAGGACAAAGCCAGTAAAAAAAATCAGCCTGAAACAGTCTCAAAAACACAGACAAGGAGGGGGGGAATTTGTGTAATGCCTTCACGGTATTTCATGTTCTTAAAAGAATGTTCTCTCTGGGTCAGGAATTCTTTCTGTTTTAGAACCGGATCCAAAGCCAACTGAAGTCAATAGAAGGACTCCCATTACCTTTAACTGGCTTTCGATCAGGCCACCAGCTGGCAGGAAAAATACTTGATGGGAAATTTGCCCACACATTATTTCACATCACAGGGGGAAGGGGGAGGGGAGGGAATTACACTAGAAATATTAGTAAAATTCCTGAGGTCGACTAATCTGGCTGAAGAAATTAAGAGATTTCTTTTTAAAAAAATTGTTCTTAAATCAGTTTATGCCGCACTCTGAGCCTCTTGGTAATGGAAGTGAAAAATCAGGCCCTCTATTAAGTGAGTCTTTGATGAAACGTCATGCTTGGATCTCCAGCGTCCAAGTAAAAACCGATTCACGGAAGATAATGAAACTGCGTCTGTTTTTTTGCCTGACAATCCTCATGTCAACACAATCACCATGACTCTATCTGTTCTTTATTTGCAGATTACATACAAGGCTGTTGGGTCCTTGGATCCCAGTGCTGACTTGTCCAGCCAGAGGGGAAAGATCTTCAAACTAAGGAATGAAACTCACCACCTCTTTGTAGGGTTATATCCAGGGACTACCTATTCGTTCACCATCAAAGCCAGCACAGTGAAGGGCTTCGGACCTCCCATCACAACACGGATCGCAACTAAGATTTCAGGTATGGCACTGGGGGAGAAGGGAAGAGGCCTGGCCTTGGTTCGTCCTTTGTAGATCCAAAGTGAGCAAACTAATAAAGCAAGAAAAAATGACTTGGCATAGTATCTCTGTCTGCAGGATAAGATAGGTCCATAAAGGGTTAAGTTAGCTTGGCTGAAGAATATATATGATCTGAAGTCTGTGTAAATACAGGACAGAAATCCTTGAAGAAAAGCCCCAGTGATCAAAGGTGGTTCTAACGAGTTTCAGCAAAGACAGGAATTCGAGAAGCAGTGACTATAGTCACACAGGTTCCGATAGATAAATTATAAAAGGGTGGACTCTTTAAGGGTTCTTTGCTGCTTACTTGCCTATCCAGCTGCACCCAGGCAACATGGCTTTGGGCATTCTAGGGCTCGTCCTGTTGTAAGTGCCTGATCAATGCCTATAACTGCATATTACTGTACGGGTGTGTTGAGTGCTTAGGCATTTTAAAGCAAGTTTGGAGCAACTGTGTAAATACCATTTGTCTTTTGGATTTAATAAGGGAATCTATAATTGTATCCAATATCAATAATGACAATGATAATTTCAACACCATACAAACTCTGTGGGGCAAATTTTAAAAGTGGGCTCCCCCCCAGCATCCACATTTGATGGGGGTGTGAAAATAGTACCTAATAATAAATACCTGATTTGTGGATGCAGATAATGTGTTAGATGACATCATTCATTTTTCCAGCAACTGGCTATGAGTGTACATTTACACTGGGTGCCTAGTTTTAGAGAATCCTTTGAAAATGTGATCTTATATCTTCAAAACACTTCACAGAGAGTGATAATAGAGCTAGTTAAGTAATATCAGAAGGAGAGAGTAATGGAGAGGTATGAACAAGGAGAAAGGTAATTTTTTTTCTAAATGGGACTGGAGAAAAGATGGAGAGTCCGAGGCAGGTGTGCCCAGGAAGGCTGTTAAAGACAGCAGGAGCTTCAGAGGAGAAGGCTCTTGGTAACTATTAAGGGCCCAATTCTGCTCCTGCTGAAGTCAGTGACAAAACTCCTATTGACTTCAATGGTCCCTAAAGTAGTCAACACCAAGCAGTTGTGTAGTAATTATGTTACTATTCAGTGGTGGCCAAAAAAACAACATTTGCTGAGCTATTTCATATTTTACGTGTAAGGGAAAACTGGTATGTCCCATACATATGCATGGTAACTAATGCAAATACTGATCACTGAATTACACTCCCTGTTATTGTTACCCAGTCCTTCCACAGTGTGTGTTTTGTTCACCAATTTTTTATTGTCTTAAAATATGATTGTAAACTCTCTGAGGCCAGCACAGGTTTTTACTATGCCTGTAAAGCATCTGGCACAATAGGCTGTGCATCTCTAGAAAATATTGAAATACAAATAATACTTCATAGTTAAGGCAATTGTTCTATAACAAGCTTTTTATTTAAATGCTTCCTTAATATAGAGTTTCTTATATAAAAATTTCAGAGATTCATTTCCCCCATAAAATCATCATCATTTTATAGATGGGAGAAAGTCAAAGGAGTAGGGAAGTTAGTGACTTGTACAAGGCCTCAAAATAAGTCAGTGGCAGAACTACTAATAGAAACCAGGATCTTGACAGTTTTCAGTTTCTGAGACATCATCACCTTGTAAGCACACTGATTTGACCTGGAGGTCACTGTAGAGAAATATAGGAGGACCTCCCACAATGCAGTTTTACCAAGTCACTTTTCTGAGTTATAGCAGCACTGAGTGGAACTAGGCTATTCATAGAACATATTTTCTGCATTTAATCCCTCCATGTTCTTTTTAGCTAGAGGCACTTGCATGAACCCTGGATCTTTGTGCCTTATGGGATTCCTCTGCTGCTGCTGCTTGTTCCCCACCCGAAAACCTAATGCTGTTTGTGGTATCTACACTTCTTCCACAGCAAAAAATGGTGTTGTCCCAAACAGGGTCTGATTTCAAGTGGGGAAGTAAGAAGGAGAGATAAGTAGCAGAAAAACTAACTCATAAGAAAGCCAATATCTTGTTTTCCTGAAAATGTCCCCAGTGCGAATTAATGGGATAGACTTAATACCACAAATACAGACTATGTAGTTTTGTGTGTGTGTGTGTGACAGTACTATGGAGCTGAGTGTGAGAGAACCTGGCTAATTCCCTCACCTCCCTAAGCATCTTCTCCTGGTCCAAAATTTATCTCACAATTTTACAGCTCACAAAGGCTCATCTTAGCTCAAGCCTAAACAGTGAAAGTTGCATCTCAGGTGTAGGAGGTGTAATCAAGTGATAAATGCTGGAGAATAGGAGTTGGGACTCCTGGTTTCTATCTCAGCTCTGGTGTTGACACACTATGTGACCTTAAGCCAAGTCACTTAACCTCTGTGTGGCTCTCCATGTGAAAATGTATAAAACTATGCCATTTTCACAGGAGTGCTGAGGCTTAACTAATTAGAGAGAGATTTTCAAAGCCATCTAGGAGATTTTGAGTCCAATTCCCATTGTTTTTTTAAAGGGAAGTGGGTGTCCAAATCTTTTAAATAGCTGTGAAAATGCCATCCTTAATGCTTGTAAAGTATTTCAGCATCTCAGATGAAAAATGCTACCCAGGCTCCGAGTGTGATTTGTGTTTTTTGCCATAGCTCCTGAAAACAAAAACTAGTGGATAATTTACACTTTGGTCTCTGTTCCACCACAGCACCATCTATGCCTGAATACGACACGGACTCCCCCTTGAATGAAACTGACACAACCATCACAGTCATGTTGAAGCCTGCTCAGTCCCGTGGAGCACCTGTCAGGTAAAAGGTTCCCTCTTCTCATTTCTCTCTGCTTTTTCTTTCCATGCCCCAAGCCACATGCATAGCTGTCATTCATGTCTGATAATGTGGCTGCTCTGGATGTATGCTCAATAAAAGGCAGCTGTGCTGTAGATTCTACCTCTTAGAACTCTTTACAAATACCCTCACCTATTTGCATTCTGAAGTTAACCTTAGGAAGAGATTGATGATACAGTGGCACTGGTTATTGACCTTACCATATCCCCTCCAGGTGTATTTGCAGAGTTGGAGTAACCATACATAGAATCATGTACTGGGAAGCTGGGTCTTTAGCATTGCCTCGCCAAGGTTAGCAGGGCTTCAGGCCTTCCATAACTAGTAAAAGTGTAGTTGTAGAAAAGGTCTTTCTATATATTATGATTTGTAAATAATGCTAGAAATACCGCAAGGACCCTGTGACAAAGCTCTGTCCTTGCCTCCGTGGGTCCCACGTTTCCTGGTGGATTTTGCTAGCCTCAGAGGCTCACTGTGACCCTCCACATAACCCTTCTCTCTCTAGAGACAAGGGTCACAGTCTACTGAGCCATTTTCATCATAAGCCAGCAAGGGAGATGAGGAGAAGTTATCCTTCTGCACAGTCTCTGTTGTCTCCCAGTCTCAGTAATTAATCAGGGGGCAAAGGTGGGGGGGAAGCCCGGGCCCACCCTCTACTCCAGGCTCCAGCCCAGGGACCCTAATAGTATCAGCTATGGTAGCTGACCTTTTAGAAACATGACATGTACAATTCCCTGGGCTACTTCCCCCACAGCAGCGCTCACTTCCTCAAGCTCCACTTCACCCTTACCTCAGGGCCTCCTTCCTTGTGCCTGATATGGTGTGTATTACTCAGTCTCTCCAACAGCACAACTTCCTCCCACAGCTCCTGAAATTCACACCCACCTGACTAACTGGGAGGCTTTTAACTAGTTTCAGCCAGCTCCTGATTGGCTTCAGGTGTCCCAATCAACCTAGCATTCTCCCTGCCTTCTGGAAAGTTCTTAATTGGCCCCAGGTGTCTTAATTGACCTGGAGCAGCTGCCATTTCACTTATCCTGGTACCAGGGATTTGTTTAGCCTGGAGCTAATATATCTATCTCCCACTACTTTTCTATAGCCATCTGGCCTTGCCCCGTCACAACCCTTAAAACTTGTCTATGTCCTTCTTCAGCATCTGGACCCAACTAGATTCCTCATGCCTTTATGTTATAATCTCAGCCACTGCTCCCAATCCACCAGCTGAGGTGAGCACAGATTCTGACCCCAACAGCAGAGTGAGGTCAGACTGCAGTGAGGCTCGGCTTATACTCCTGGTCTGCTGTTTTAGGCAAACTGGATTCTGCTCACAAAGGTATTTGTAGGCAGGGAACCACACTCATGCCCTTGTACTGGAGCTGTGGCTTTGCAGACTATGTTTCCAGGAGTCCCTGAGAAGGAGGAAACGTGCATTGGTGAGATGGGCATTGTTGGAATGGGGTGTGAGTGTGTGTGCGTGCGTGAGTGCGTGCATGCAGATGGCATATTGCCTTTTAAAAAGTGTGGTCTTTAAATGAATTTCATGCTGATGAAAGGTGTCAGCACAGAAGTCTAAAGTTTTCTATTTAGCCTTTACTGATGGCAGTAAGACAAGCTTCTCTAATTCCCCCACTGCATCATATTCTGGAGAAATTCCATTTAGCTCATTCTCCATGTCTACTTAGTCCTTGCCACGGTTGCCTAAGATGTGAGTTAGTGCTGCGTGTGATGGTGGCTTTTGTGATATTTGTCCACAAAGAACTGAGCTAAACCTACCAAAGCACTTATCTAAGCCACCCTACATCCATTAGCTTCCCCTCTCCTCTTGTAACTGCCTTTGATCTGGAGCTCTCATATGCCTGTCATTATACTACTGAAAATAGACTCTGGGATTAAAATTTCAAAAATGCCAAAGTCCCATTTTCTCAAGTGAAAAAGATTTGAGTTATGACAGCGAGTCCCTCCCAGGGGTGAAAGTAAGTTAAAGGACTTACCAGTATGCTGGAGTCCTGAGCAGGGGCGTGGCCTCAACCGGAAGAGGCAGGGCCTTAAATCCCCGAGTCCTTTAAATCCCCGCCTGAGCCCTGCTGCCCGAGCCCTGGGGTAGCAGCGGCCAGGCTCCGTCGAGAATTTAAAGGGACCCGGGACTCCAGCTGCCGCTACTGCCCCGGCCCTTTAAATCCCCTCCGGAGCCCCGCCACTACTACCCTCGGGCTTTGGCAGCAGGGCTCCGGCGGGGATTTAAAGGGCCGGGGCGGTAGCAGCGGCTGGAGCTCCGGGGCCCTTTAAATCCCCGCCGGAGCCCCACCGCCGCTACCCCAGGGCTTTAAATTCCCGTCTGGGAAAGCCAATCCAGGTACGGTGCACCGGCTCTTGCCGGTACACCGTAACGGGGCATACCGGCTTACTTTCACCTCTGGTCCTTTCTGAGCTGGGAAACAGGCCAGCAGACTACACTACCCCTAGGAGTTGGAGGGTCCTTCCACCTTTATTCTTATTTGAACCTCTGCTGAGTAAAGCTGAGTCAATAACTCTTACTGAATAATCTAGCTTACATATTTAGAATTTCTACTGGTGAATTTTCCAGGAGCAGCCTATGAATATCTGGATTTCATTCTCTCCTTGTAATTATTCTTAGGAACAATTCTACGTCTTTGAAATGTCCAAAAGAAGTTTCTTACGAGAGTTGGATGTTTGAAAGTCAAGCGGGGTTGTTAACTTTTGGCTGGAGGCATAGATCACTTAATGGTATTTCCCTTCCATGACTGGGGAACTTGAAATCCTCTCAGGCCATATTCCTCTTTGCCTCCATGCTACTCTGTCTTTTCTTTGATTTTTGGAGGACCATAACTCCCCATCACTACTTTTCTAATACTGTCTCTTTCCAACCATTATTTTCTCTCCTTTTCTCAATCCACTCTCTTCTCTCTATCTCACAGGCTCTTGAGAACAGAGGTCTTCAGGTGCTGGTTGGCAAGTGTTGGTGTTATGATCTTGTTCTGGTAGCTGCTCCCTTTCTCTGTTGTTTTTGTCACTGGCATTCTTTTTCATATACCTGTGTTTCTAACGCACCGTATGTATTTCTGTTTTCATGGAACACTGTTTGCAAGCCTGATCAGCTTGATTCTGGCATGGAGGAAGAATGAAATGAATAAACCACGAGGTATAAAGCTATGAGCTTTACTGGGGTTCTTTTTTTTGTCCCAGTTGGTGGTTTTGGTGCATACAACATGGCAGCTGCACAGCGAACTGTGCTATTCAGCTCACTGCCTTGAGACTTCTTAATGGATTTTTATTGGCTACAGGTGAACTTGTCTGTCCTTTATGTTGATAATGAATTCATTAATTTCATGCAAAAGGTTACAATTTATTGTTCTTAAAATGACAGAGCGCTTGCATGGCATAAACACATTACACCTCTTGTAAATGCTTGAAAATAAATAAGAGAATCAAAGATAATTGACACAGCAAAAAGGATCTGATGTTTAAATCATGCTCCTAGTAGTCGTGATGGCTCAGTTGTGGTACAGCAATAGGCACAGTATAAATGCCTGGTCTTACGGAGTTCTGGTTGGCTTTTTGTAAGTTATTATTTAAACGCAGAGTGTATGCATCACATGACTTGGGGATGGGATGGAGGGGAAACAGTTATCATACTAGATCTATTAGCTTTATATTATCTAATAATGAATAAACATTATCAATTTTGTCTGTATTAATTAACATCTTCCATAATGCACCTTAGGGTATGTATTCTGAACTCACCTGAGCTGGGATTCTCCTACATGATGTTCTGTTTAATTTAGGAAGAGTTTGAGGGTAAACTAACAGGAGGTGTTTTCTGCTAAACACAGGCAAGATTTGTTTGTTTGCTTTTTCTTTAATATTTTTGTGAAGTTGAGCACTGGGGAAAAGTGTCAGCTGCAGAGACTGATGTCATCTTTGTAACACCAGAAAAGATACAGCACAGGCGGAAGCATTGCAAGCTTCCCTGAGCCATCCCATTAATGTGCCTTAAACCTGACGAGTAGAGCTGCAAGCCTTGGTCATATGCTCCTATCTCTGCCATTGTCATAATGGGGCTGTTTTTTAAAATAATACCGGATGATTTTATCACCAGTAATAAGATATGTAATTATCAGAATAATTAAATGCCATGCTTCAGGGCACAAGGCGATCACTGTAAGGGTCAGGAAGAAATATTTAATCCTTTGTGTATATATAGGCTTGGCAGAACTTGATTTTTATTTTATATCAGTTGGATGGATAATACTGATGTTTATTTTTAATCAGTTTAATTATTTTTCTATTCAATTTTTCACAGTTGTGCAAAATTATGGATTGTAACCATTTTTTCTTGAGTCAAACGTTCACAATGGTGGGGAATTTTGGGGGACAGACAATGATTTATTTAATGACAATAGACATGATTCAAAAAGGTAAGGATAGATAATAATGAAAACACAAATTGTCAACATCACATGTCAAAATGTACAAAGTAAATATCCTTAAATCAAATTCTGATAAGTTCACAAGCAGCATTTTTCTTAATTTGCCTATCTGTAAATTGTGATTGTTATCAATAGAAATATTTCTCATTGGCTTGTGTGAGAATAGTGAAATCAACATTTAGCAAATAAATCTAATGATCCCAAGTCTACACGTACAGTATTGCATAATTTAGTAGGTTCATTAGTGGGGTGTTTAACTTCCTCGGAAGCATTACATTTTGGCAACAGAAAGGCTGGATACTGGGTGTGATGGATCAAAACTCTGATCTGGTACAACAAATAATTTTTTTCTTACAGCATTTGCATACTCTTCATCTGAGTACATTGTCCCTTAACAAGTCATATAACTGCCTTAGCCTATTTACTAGTCTTCATAAATATAACTGCTTTGACACTGCATGACCTGCTGTACCATACCATCTCTTCCATAGGGAGCTTTGAATGTGGTTAGAAAATCAG